ATTTTTGTTTATAAGCTGAAAGAACTCGTAATAACAATGAGACCTGTGGTCATAAAGTTTTGCGAAGGAACCGAGGAATTTGAAAATAAAAGAAGTTGTGACTGGTCGTCTGGGGTGAACAATGAATGACCAATTAGGAGCAATCATGGAGCTGATCCTCTTATGTACACGTAAGATTGCTGAAAAGCTCAATGTCACCACTCTACAATCCGTCACTTGGTACTTTAACGCAGAAGCAGGACTGGTGGTTCATTTCATGAAGTGACTGCTAATTAGAAAAAAATCGTTGCTTTGAATTGTCTCTTTTATTCCGAGAAATCACAATGAAGCATTTCTCAATCGGATTGTATTGTGGAACGAAAAGGAAAAAGCAGTAAAGCAGTTCACAGGACCCAAATTGTGCCCAAAAATGGATAAGGCCATTGTTTTGTTTTGTGTTCAATTGTCATTAGATGTTTCTGAATTTACTTAGATTATATTAACAAAGCTGTGCTTAAGCCTAACTGTAATGAAAAAGAAATGTAGGAAATTTCCTAAACAAATAAATAATTTTTGGAGATTTCCACTGCTTTCTTACAATATTTCTGATCAATTCAGTCAAAAGGGACCGAAGAATTAAGAGTTAATGAGAAGTAAAAGGTACTAAAAAAGAGACGGAAGAAAAGTGACATCAAACTTTATTCGGCTATCAATATATTATCCTTGAATATATTAAATGCGCAGTAAGTTTGATTTCAAAAGAGTGCGGATGTAGGCGCCAACTTAAGCTTGAAGGTTATTAGCATAGCACTAATATTAATAATAACTGAGCACTTTAATAAATAAAATGCAACTTAAATGGTCGAAACGATATCTCGCGACTGTTCACAACCTACTGTAATGCATTAACTTATCACTTATCAACTACCATTTATGATTAAGACCTGGTAGAATTGTACTAAATATAAGTATGAATTCGTCTATATTAACAAAACATGTCTGAGAATTAGGGGTTTTGGAATCCTTAGGCAATAAGATATTTAGAGAAACTTACTTAAAAACAAGTGCTTCCTTGCTGAGCCAAATATAATCACCCAATGACATTAAACAGGTTTTGGCTGCAAAACAAGATGAAATGCGAACGGGAAATTATATTTCACAATTACACATAAGCTTTTTATCAAAGTGCACTGCAAAAAGTAAATATTGAATTTGAGGGAAAAAATAAAGTATGGAAAAACGACAATGTAACAAAGTAATCGAAATTATACAACGAATTAAGAAGCATACTTAAAGGAAAGTAAATATAAATGTAAATATAAATGAAAGTAAAATAAATTTCGTCTTTTTTACCTTTTAGGCTCTTTCCTTCAATGTGATGAAAAAAAAAAAGAAAAAAAAAAACATGGAATGTAAAGAAGGAATAAAATGGAAATGAACTTAGTGCCTTGTCATACTATCACTAGATGGAAAGAAATTATTTAGTGATGAAATCTATGGAGAATCAGGAAGTTACGCAAAATTTGACCTCAAATAAAAGAACAGCGAAAATCGGAAAACCTCAAAGGTTTTACATTATGGAATACAAGGATTGATGAACCAATAATGACAACGAGAAACGTCCTTCTTCATTCAGTGACAATACAAGACTGGCGAAAACATGCTATGCTTACTATAGAACTAATCTCATATATGCCCCAGCTCTTTTTCCAGAGAGAACCGAAAATGATGACCACTTTCGAGACAATACAGGAAGAAAGGTCAGAAAACTTTTTGTGGATAAAGTACAGCTCTAACTTATACACCGAATGAACTTGAGGAAAGACAAAATTTTAACTTAAAACAGTTATTAAAACGGTATATTTATTAAATAGCTATGAGTATGCAAAGATTTCTTACAAAAGATAGTGGATTACAGTTGAGAATAAAAAATGCAAGTCTTATCAGTGATGTCAGGGAAAATAAGGAAATGAAAAGTAACATAAGTCGACACATGAAATATTTTGAAGAAGATAGAATAAGGCAAATTAAAAATTAGGAAAGATATTGTATGAGTGGACAAACGAGGACTTGAAATTTCAATCCCGTGTACTTTCATTTGTGAAGGAAATGAAGAAAAAGTTTGAAATTTAAATTGAAACCCAAAAGTCTGAGTCAATTTGAAATAAAAACTATTGAAAATCGACACATTAATCAAACAATTAATTAGTCATTTATTTGACAGAATGGATAAATTAAATCTAATTAGTATAAATGAAGCAGTTAATTTAATTGGACGAGATAGAGCAGACTACCTACATTTCACTTTATTCCTATTAAAATGCAGTCAACAAGGCTTTAGACCAGTTCTGAGAATGAAAGCATGAAGTTAGTTTGTCAGTCTGTCAATCTACAAGTTCCAGAGCATTCATTCCCAGAGATTAGTTTTCTACGTCACGCCTAATGGATGGGCAGTTACTCGCTGACCACGTACTTATCACATTTACTCTTTGATATGTTAGTAAAAATGACTCCTCTGCATAAATGAGGACAGATTAATCAGTCAGTCAATCAGCATCAGAGGACGAAATCATTTACATGAAAGGATGGATAAATAACGGAGATTTCTAAAGGAAGAAAGTATTGAGTTATCATCGGCCTGGCAGTCAGCTGATGGTGCGCTCCCGACATTCTTGATGGATTCTTATTTCTCTGCTTCTCATCTCCATAAGCCATAACGTCGTTTTCAATAAGTCAAAGCTTTCAAAAAGTGCCAAAGTATAAAAGCCAATAGATGCTTGAAAGTGTAGTGCGTGTATATATATATATATATATATATATGTGTGTGTGTTGCTATGTATCCATCCTCATCTCTCCGCCACTGACTACTACTACAAATAAACTATCACAAAAAACATTCCAGAAGAACTTAAGCAGCAAATTTCAGAAAATTTATCTGTCACCAAGAATTTCGTAGATCAAATAACGATGATAATGCAGTTATATTCAGATTCTTTCCATCAACCACTTATACTCTCTGACTTCATACAGCTTCATTTCCATCACTAAAAAATACTTAAGCATATATTGATGAAATATGTTAAATTTCAAGAGGGATATTTAAATTTTTCTGACTCAACAAAATGGACAAAACTTTGCACTTGTCGAAATTAAGGCATTCTGATTTACTGCAACACTTTGAAATGAATAATTTGCTTAATCACAAGAATCAGTGTAAAGTTAATGATAATTGTAAAGTCGGTGACTATAATTGACTTTATAAAGGCAAAAAGTTTTTGTAGATAAGAAGGCAATAGTAATTGATAAATGGTACATATGAAAGAGTTCTGCAACAGTAATAAATTTTATACAGAATTGCAGCAAATAGAGCATTTAAGATTGCTGAAACTTCACTTTCTTTGATTTTTTTTCTCAAAAATCCTCTTAATCTTTTCAAATGTAAATTCCATCAAATAGGATTGTCATAGTACTTCGGAGATTTGGCATCTAGAAAAAGTATTCGCTCAGATACTTTAGTTTGGTGTCTCATAAAATTTGCAGTGAGCACTTAGATATATTCATTTTATGCGATTAATTCGTTGAGAACTGCCTGAATTTCAGGTTGTCATGATTAAGCAATTTTTCATATAGATCTGCAATTTTCCTCAATTCTGAATTAGAGTTGCTTGTTAGATTCTATAAAACTTTAATATTTTGAATGAACCATGAAAAATATATAATATCAGTTAAGCGCAAATTTAGCAACTCCATTTGTAGGAATTGGATTCCTTTATTAACAGATGTTTTTGACGTCGAAGACAGTAGCCAACTGATGGTTGATAAAGAAAAACCAACCGGATGGATCTTTTAAATTCTGTTTAAATTTTAATTAAAAAAAAATGATTGTATAAATTTGTGACCAAATGTAGCCAAAAATTTGACCAAATTTGGTCAAACTCTCATATAAACTCATAAAACCAAATGATGCATGGTATTTTGACAAGATGCATCGCTACAGAACAAGTTTGTGAGTTTATATGAGAGTTTGAATAAATAAATTCATTTTGACATAAACTGATCTTACATTACAGCTTTGAAAAATTATCTCTATTTGGATAAATTATTATTCGGAATAAATGGATTTCAAAATAAGCTAGAATTCAATACTGACTGATTTTACTTCAACAAGATGACAGCATACAAAGTAAAGCAATTTAATCTGCCTAAGCAGGAAAATAAAGGGAAATGCTTTGACGACCAAAGACTAAGAGTACAAGTTGTGACGATAATAAGTAAGGCATCAATGTTCACAAACTTACCTACTTTTCATATCTAAAATTTACCAACGTCATCTTGCATTCATTTCCCTTGCTGCTCATTTATTCATTTTTTCACTTTGATTTATTTCGATTTTTTTTTTTTTTTTTGATGAGTTATCTATAACTTAAGAATAACACAGTAATTTTCGACATTAAAATTTAACTTATTGCAATTTGTATGATTGAATATTTTCTAACAACTAAACAGTTGTTCACTACTGGGAAATATGCACATGCTAATAACCACTCAGAATCACTTACTTGGCAAGTATTACTTTTACTTATCCAGTTACCTGTAATCATTTCTTTAATAAAATAGATCAATTCTTTAAACGTCTATAGGAAAATATGACTTAGCGTCTCCTGCTGCAGTATTCAAGACATTATTAAATGAAATGGAATGAAGCCAGAAAGATTATGGAGATTGCTAAAATATCCACAAGATGTGGATATTCTATGAGTCCAGCTTGAAGATGAATGATTTAGTTTGACTGTCGGACTCCATTCCACATTTCAATTAGATTCTGTAGTGTAAGTGAAATTTGCTTGATAGATTAATCACAAAAAAAAAAAACCACAAAAAAAAAGTGACGTTCGAGTAAATAAAATTAAAACACTGTTGGAATCTCAAAAATTGTTTATATTATTTTGCTACTTCTTCCCGCTCTACCGAATTGCATCCGGAGCATATAGTTGGCTTTAGTGATTATAACATAATTCAGATTAAGGTATGATAATATGAAAAACATGCCTCTCGACCTTTTCACATTCGATCGGTTCATTTGATTTCAGCAATTTTGAATTTCCAATTGGTGATATTGTTCCAGGCAATAGTTCCAGTATGGATCGACTATCACTATACGTTGCTGTCAACGATCGTTCTAATCCAAAGTTGTTCAACATTTCCACCGGTGTCATACGTCCACTCAATGCTGAACATTTCCAGTTTAAGTGCTTAAATTTTGAATCTTCAGATGAATGAGAAATTTCTGAAAATTTGTCCTGAAAATTGCTTGTTCTTACTTATCAAAAATTAAAAATTCTTCTTTAGAAAGTTGAAATATATAAGATGACTTAAAATAAAATTTTAACGATTTTTCAGACTGGTTTATTGGTGAGAATCTTACCCAGTCCAGTCTCCATTACATTTGATTTTGGTTTATTTTCATTGTCTGCGTTGTTTTCCAATAAAATTTTAACGGCTTTTTTTTGTGATATCAAATGATTTGATGATAACTGTTGAGTTCTGCTGTAATTACCATGCTAAAACTAATGGGTTTCACTGAGAACAAATTTAAATTACCATAAAAATAAATTCGACTTAAAATTGGAACACAAAGTTTCTTCATTATATCAGAAGCTTTATTGGGTAAAAACGAACAACAATTCAAAAAAAAAAAAAAAAAAAAAAAACAATAGCAAAAAAGCTTGTCAAAATCGTAGAATTATTATTATTATTATTACTTTACTACTGCTATTATTACTGTTATTATTGCCATTATTGCTTTTTTTTTTATTATTTTTATTTAACTTAAAATATCAAAGTGTTTTTTTAATTAATCTTTCTGCTGCATGCACTAAAGGTGTCAGTATTTAAAGAGTAATTTCTACTTTTTTAAAATTGACTGAAAACTCATTGGAATGGGCAATGAAACTAAGCATCTCAAATTTTCGTTTTAATTGCGTACAACAGTCATCAGGTTCGAGGCTATTCGTCCTTTAAATTTCGAACTTATTTTTAAATTTAAAAGCTCTCATTCATTCCCTTGCTTTTGTTATATATTCTCATATAATAACAGTTAGCAAAACTGGAAACGAAGCGCAAAAGTAGAGATACACACTCAGAGGTATAATTAAACTCTTACACATCACTTCACCCATTTCACTACCGTACGGCTTTTTGCTTAGAATTGTCATTATTTTTTTTCTTTCCTCACATGTCATTACAATTTCGGAATATCTTTATTATTCGAATTTCTTCAAGCAATTAATAATAGTAGCAGTTCCGTAAATAATTGCAAAAACAGAAAATTATTGACTATAGTTGAGAAATGGAACGTACTATTTTTTACCACTGAAGAACGACTACTGATAACTGCTTCTAGTATCCACTGTTATCACTTACTACGAACATATCACCTAACTACTGCAAACATTCCTTCATGCAAATAAATAATTCAAAAAATGAAAATTCTAAAATGATACTCTGTGTGAATTATGAAACTGATTAAATTTCGACTGAAAAAATTTTTTCCTTTCCACTTTAACTAAAATAATATCGTGTATAGAAAAAACTGAAATGGCAACGAGAGGGATCACTTCCAGATTAATTTAATAAGTGATACATTATTATATAGTAACAAATTTGCATCAGTTATCATTGCGTAGTACTCAGAACTAATTGAAAAGGAAAGTATAGCGCTCACAATGAATGGATTGAGAATTTGCTTATCAATAATGAACGAATGAATCATATCAAATCACTATGACGTTGAAAAATTCAAGTGCCAGTGAAACAAATTATATATTACAACAATGAAGATAATAGCAACTTTGCTAAATGGCCACTAGATAGGCCTTTTTCGTTAAACCATTAACAGATGTTTTTTTAATATTAAATTTGAGCACACTAAGACTTTTGTTGAATCAGGAAAAGACCTGTTTTATTGTTCAGAAGGCAAAAAAAGTTACTTCAACAGTCATAGCTTGTATTAAATTAAATGTAAGTTAGAAAAATTTGATGGAATACATTAAAAAATGCTCGAAGAAGATGTAAGTGATAATTTAGCAGAAATTTTATCGCATTTCAATCTATTAAACGACTATTAGCATCAACTTAGTGAGAGCTTTTTTGATACCATTCAACTCAAATAATAATACCGCTCACATTTCACCAGTTTGCCAACCATTTGTCCATAATTCCGTACCACTACAGCGCGATCACAACTTGTTTGCAAAACTTCACCAAGGGATGGGAATATGTTAGAAGAGAAAGTTCTCTGAGAATTGCCTCTCACTGGTTTTTTGTAAACTGAAGAATTTGTCGGTTGCCTATGAAATTTAATCCAGTCTAATATCATCAAACATGCACCGAGAAGAGAAAAAATATCAGTTTCTTTCTCTTCTGAATGAAAGAAGTAGACTTTTCGCAACGACAGATGACCAGAAAATGAATTTTCATGCATCTCATCCCAAAATTTCCTATTTATACAAAAAGATTTCAACTTGAAATTCCTACTTAAAGTAAAGCATTGTGTAACATCTTAGTAGCTTCTTGATCGAACGCTGATTAAAAAAAAATTCAATAATAACATGATGGTTTGAGACGAGAAAATATGTATAACAAGTATGCTATCACTTATATAATCCCACAAATTTTTACATCTCAATGTTTTTACATCATCAAAATTTTGAAAAACTTCTAAGCCACTCTCAACTTTTCGTATTATGTCAATTACTTTTTAATCTTGAATAAGTGAACAGCGATTTTAGACGTTTGGTACAAAAATGTCGTTCAAAAACTTCAAAAAATGGTGAACTTTAAAAAAAAAATGATGGAGTCTATTAAAAGTGATGAACTTGCACAACTCATGTGACTCTACACTCTGATATAATCTGCATAAACATTATCCACAGAAGTAAACAACTGACAGCGAATAACGTGCATATATAAATACAGTGATCGATTCATTCATTTAGATTTAATAATTATAAACTTAAATGAAGGTACAGTTACACAAAATTGCAGAAATTTTATATTTAGTATCCAACGTCATACTTCTTGATCTGGAATATTTTATTCAATTATCACCAAAAAATTCAAAATTTGGAATATTTTAGAGGATTAAAAAGCAATTAGCTCCGACCTCCATTTTTTAGAAATTTGGGATTGAAATTTAATTCTAAATCAAAAAAACCTAGAGCTTTTCTTTTCTGGAGAATTAAGACTAATATAGAAAGGTTTGATTAGTCCATATGATATATTTACACAAGTATAAGGAATTTTGAATACCGTCAAAAATGAAGGGCTATCTAGTTTCAAAATTTCAGTTAAAATTTACGAAACCTTCAGAAATCTTATTCGCATCTATGAATGTACAAATTATTCAACGGTGATCAATCAAAAAGTGGTCATAAAAGTGCTCAAATCCCTGCTTTAAAATTCGAAAAAACCAGTGATCTAATGAAACGAAATAGTTAAGCGGATATCTTCATTGGCATTGTTTAGAAAGCTAGTGTCTATGAACTTGATGGTTAATTGTCATCAACATTTGGCAACAGAAGGTACAGCTATTACTTAATAAATTTCAACTCATTACGTCTCACCCTTGTTTAATAGAATGTTACGAACAATTCATCTTAATTATTTTTAAATTAAACACATTTGGAAAAAAAAGAAAGAGCAAAGTTTAAAAAGACGATAAAAGTTTTCATTTTCTCCTATAAATGTTGCGATATGGTCGTTGACAGAGAGAGCTATTATAGAAAGATATGAGAAAAAAATTGGCTGTTAAAAGAGCCAATTTTTTTGTAAGTTTACTTTAAAGAAGCTGATATTTTTTTATTTAATGTATGCAAAACAATCAACAGTGAGATATCAATTGGCAAGGAAGAACTTCGACATGTTTGTGAGAAAATGTTTTTGCTGGCACTGTATATTTCAGTCATCATTAGTTCAGTTTATTCACTCCAATTGTTAACATTTTCAGTTTCATCTAAATTTAACTAATCAACAGACAGCATGCGGACTTCTGACATATTTTGACCGAGAAGGAAAAAAAAAATTACTTTTCTTTTCTACAAACATAATTGAATGCCATCATGAAATTCTAAAAACAAACTGCTTTCGTTGGAAGATGATTACCAGTATCGGATTCATCAAAGAAGTCAAACAAGAAGGTTGTAAACTGCTGATCACTTGGAGGAGCTGTATGCGGCACATTATCGGTCGGCGAAACCATCGACGACTTACAGGTACTTTTGAAGGATTTTGTGGGTAAACCTGTAATTACAAAGAGAATTAATTTTCGATGATCATATCTATTCTGAATGTTTCATGCAAATATAGTTTGGGTTGTAATAGAAGAAAAGATAATTTTCAAGTTCACTGAAATTTCAAAAAAGATTTTTCAAATTCAAATTTTAAGTATTCTTTCACATTTGTTTAAAAGTCGATATTGCTATACTTTATGAATGATTTCACACTCTGAAAACCTTCCTGTTTGAGGCCTGAAACGAGATAAAATGATGTCCTTTAGTGGCCCTTATTACACATCAGTGATATCCGTTTCAAAGTAGACTTTTTGAATTTTGAATCCTTCAGTGAATTTAACTTAAGATAATTTTCATCAAAATATGCAAAATGCCCACATCCACTAAATGTAACTGAAATTAGTATAGCGAAACTATCAGAAAGCAAATTCATAGGCATTCGTTTTATAACTAACAAATTTTCCGATTTTTGTCATGTAAAATTAATAAGAGATGATGATTGAAACTGTAGGATCGAAGAAACAATGAAAAAAGGATTTGTTTTTTATGTTTCAGAAAAGCTTAAATGCCAGAAACATTCAGGTGTTAGTTAGCTCCAGAATTTGACACAACAAAAGATATTTTAAAAGGATGATTGAGATTGCCAACAATTCATTGAAAAAAAGTTTTGAAAGATTTCTTGCTCAATAAAAATTTTGTTTCTTTCTTTGTTTAAAAGAATTAAAACTTTTCGCGTATTATCTCGGAGCATTTAAATTTATTTTCAAATATCGTTGGTAACTAACGAATATAAAAAGACTAGTAAGAAGACTTTTTTCTTTTTATAGCATCTTTCTTTTTCTTCTTTATATTCAGATTGACATAAATCTAACTTTTCCTGTAAGAAATGAAAACCTTCTAAAGCATAATTTTCAAATAAAATATAGAAAAGTATAAATAATGTAAATAAAACTTTAGCTAGTAAGAAAGACATGTAAACCGTACTTACGACTGGAATAACTATAGCGTCAATTGTGTGGAACACTAGAAGGTATTCATTGAAACGATAAACAGATAAAAGATCGAACAAACAAGTTAGCTAGTAATGACAACCGAACTCATTAAACTCATTTCATGAAGACTGTCTTTTCATTTGCTGATCACTTTACTCAATACAGTTTAAATAATAATTCAATTTGCATTTTCTGTTTAATTAGCTAGGAATTTACTGCTACTCGAGCTGCTGAATAGCGGTAGTGGCGAAGTACGGCGCTCACGTTGCTGCTTAGCGGGTTCCGTGTTATAGAAATCGCAGCATGCCCAACGACCACGTTCATAACATGACTCCACGGGGACAATCTGCAACACAGAATATGATGATAACGATTTTCAATCATTATTTTTTCTGGTATCCACATTTTTTTCATATTATCATAAGTATAGTTCCTGTTAAAAAATTGATGACTAGAAAACTATTGAAAAATAGAATCAAACTTTAATATTATTAACTTAATATCAAAAAAGCAAAAAGTGGTTCTCGCATCTCGTTGTTTTAATTAGCTCATAACTGAAGGTATACTAATTTTTTACAAAATAAATGCATTTCATCCTTGTCTTTTTCTACCCAATGTATTTATTTGCTTAGTAGATATGCGTGGTAATGCTAAATTATATCAAAATTGTCAAGCTAATATCTAAAACTCATTTCAGTGAATATTTTACGAAACCATTCGTAACTTCAAGAATGTTGCTTAAGATTTTAATAAACAAGTAAAATATGTAAGATTTTACTTAATTACTTGTGAATTATTATAAACGATTATCAGATTATCACATAAAGAAAGAAGGAAGAAGAACAAAATGACTGCAAATATTATCAACTACTGATTTTATCTTGGTTAAGCCTTTTTTTGTTAAATCTTTTTTAGGGTAAATTTGACTTTCTTCAACTTATTTTGACTTAATCTATTGTTATTACTCAATAACTTTTCAAGACTGCAGTAAGTCGAAACATATTCGAACTCCATAAAAAGAACTGAATGAAAAATGCATGCTCGAATTCATCAAACTTTCTCTTAGATAACAAAAAAAAAAAAAAAAAAGAACAAATCACTGACTGACAATAAATAAAAAATCGATTATTTGATGCTAAACAATTCATCATGGATACCTTACTTTAACAGCTAGAAAAAACACTCGAACAATTTAAACATCTTTGTAAGATATATTTGTCCCATCCTCAATTATGTAATTTTAAAGTGCTCTTGTATTTATTCTGTTAATAAAATCCAGGATATTTTTCATAGGTCTTCACTGTTTTGTCTCAATTTCTCTAGTTTTTTCAAGTCGTTGAAAGTGGAATTTAGAGATAAATGATGGATAATAATGTAATCTTTACTTTCTTGGTAATTTCTTGACAGAGGAAGTTTTCGATTTAAAAAAATGACAGATTAAAATTGAAAATAGCTGAATAATCACTTTAAACTTCTGCTAAAAAGATCAAAAATTAAGATCATTGGTGAGTTAAAATTTAATTTTTACTTATAAACATTAATTAACTATAATTTTGATTCAAGCTGAAATAGGAAAGACTTACTTCGTAAAAAATAAATTTATGGAGTGCCTGCAAATTGAGAGTTACCCATAAGTAAAAGAATATAAATTAGGATGGAAAACATTTCTATTAAAGGAAAATTACATTTTTAATTGGAAGATAGAAACTTCTCTGTACTTCTACAAGATGAAATCTAATTGTATCAAATACCTTCTGATTTCTCGTAGAATATATAATAATGCATTCAGCTTCTCTCTACAGTATAAGTCCAAACGTGGACGTATATAAACAAATGTGAACGCCATGTTTCAGTAAGAAAGTTTATGTTCAAATTAGAGAGAAATGTAATTTTCTACCTAAACCTAGCCAATAGACTTAGTAAAACCTTTATAAAATATGACTAGCAATCTCGTTTCAATTCCAATTTCCATTTATGTTCGATTTACAAAGTTTTAAAATCCTTCAAAAAGTATTTCGTGTTCGCTAACCATTGCGTTCTGTGTACTATCCATCTGATAACAAACTTGCTAATTTTTATTCTTCATTTAACAGCAACACCAATTTTGCTCAACCCATCATCACTAATTTTACATATCGTTCTTGAATTAACTAATTTAACAGCAAATTATTGGATACTGTAATTAATTACTGCTTGACAAATTACCAACGCCCTTTGCTCACACTTTGAATTAGCATCATCAGATAAGTAGTAGAAAAGCTAAAAACCGTCTTTAAGTAGTTTTCTGTTCACAGGAAATTTTCAATAATTATTTAATGAAGGGTCTTTCAGCCTTAGACACCTAAAAAGCGCTTATTCACGACTAATCAAATGAAGATTAGAAGTGGGTGAGCGGGATGGAGCTGTCGAGAAAGAATCATTAACAATTATTCTCGAAACAATATCAAAAATCTTGTTCGATTGTTCAGAACTGTCATCATTATCAGGTATCGGTTTTTTTTTCAATGATTGTCTTACAGATTCAATTAATCACTATGATCTTATCAATGTCTGATCGTATCGTTTTTGATATCTATGCAATTGTGCAAAAAGCAAATTTCCTTTTTGTTACGCAGTGAGAAGGAAATATGCGTTTTTTTTTTTTTTTTTTATCCTTAAAACATATTGCTAATTTATGCTAATAATGCAAATTATTTAATATTATGTAGATATGATTTGTTGCTTATAAAAAATCTATACACCATTCTTTCAGAAAGATTGTACTCTCTGATGGATTTAAAGCCAAACTAAAATATCGAGTCTGATCCTGTAACAATCGCATCCATCTTGAACAAATTGTAAGTGGGACATCTGCAGCCAGTTCGTCATATATCATATTCTTTCTCTAATAATTATAAAAAACTTACTCTGAAGCGTGATCCATTCATCTGCTTACCCTTCTTAAGCCCGGATTGTGATTGCTGCTGTGAAGATGCAGTGGTTGCTGTTGATGACCGGAATGAAACATAGTGGTCGTATCTGGTTCCGGTGAAGATTGTTTCTGCAATCAAAAATGCTTTGATATGTTTGGTAACAGATAGATAGATTTTACTAACATTGTGATTATCAAAATTTCTGATTTTAAAAATTTTTACAGAAAAATATCGAACATAATCTTGTCTGGAAAAATAGATATGAGATTCTGCAGTCAGAACGAGCCGATCAATATGAGGCAGCTTGGATTAATTGCGCTTTATTACTGCATTCGAGCCACATGTTAGGAAGTCGTTTAAATCTAAAAAGTTATTCCTCCCAACATAGCGAGATGATGGCAATTAAGGCTCTGCCTAAAGGGATTGAAAAGGATGAGACCAGTGCATCAATCATTCGATATTCTGATTGTTTTATTGTTATATTTCAGATTTGTTATATATTTCCAATGAATTTATATATTTCCAATGAAATTTAATATATTTCCAATGAAATTAAGTTTTAAAGTCTTAGAATAGTATGCAGAATGAAGGCGAAAATAAGACATAGAATTACTGAAACAAATAAATGAAATTTCTCCTACTTTTGTCCTTCAAATCTAATTCATCGTCAGATGATGAATCCGATGACTCCATACTCGCTGATTCTTTATGTCTAAAATACAAAATGCGATTTGATGAAATGTTTGATGGTAAACATTTCAAATCTGACCATCGCAATTAATGTGGGAAATAAATTATGAGAATAATATGGGTTAAAAGGAAAATTATCAACCGACAAAATAAGAGATAATTTCTATTTCAAAATTTTGAAAACTCTATCAGATTAATTGATTTATAAATATTGCTTTGAATGTTAAAGATCTCTATAAATGAAGATGTGTTGACCGGCATACCTTTTATCAATAATTGAAAAGCGCCCTTCAGTGCTCGCATACTTACAATTGGTTGATAGTGTGTCATGTTGAACTGCTTGTGTACCCGGTCGTTTCCAACGTGGGATAATGAGGCGTGACGTTGAACTGCTAAAGAAGTTCATCGGATGCAATGTCCAGGCTATAATGAAAATCAACTTCGTTAATCTTTTGTTGTAAATCTCTCAAATGAGAGTTAGCGATACATTGCTTGATGTTTTCGAATGAAAGCTTTTTGGGAATTAAATTTGCTGATTAAGTAGGTTCAAATAACTGGAAGACCACTAAGTAACTGAAATAATTATCAGTTGCTAAAACGAATCAGAAAACCAATTATTTTCATGAGCCTATCTTAATGAATAAAAAATTTTTGGGAAACAACAAATTAGTTATTTGTAGAAACACTTTAAATTCATTACCATTAGAAGTGGGTCATTTGCGCGGTATCTTCAAACGAGAATGCAGAAAATTGATTAATGTAAAAAAACATTAACATATTTGATAAGAAAAGAGTGAAATGACTTGAAACCAAAGGAACAAGAATAGTCGAATTTGAATTTTAAACAGTGAAGTAAGCGCTAAATCTGATGAAATTCAAAAATGCTTAATTCAAACACAAATGAAATTGCAATGGCATGGAGAGGGAACGATGATAACATTTCCAGGACGTTGTCTTGTTTAAAAATACCACATATTGATGATGATTCGGATTGGAAATGGATTTCTGAATAATAACAATTTCATCTTTTTTGACGAATTAAAAAAAACACTTCTGATTTTTACACTCCAAGACTGCAGGAGAATTGATTAAATGAAATGATAATGAGCGAAGAAAGAAATGAATGGAAATTGTTTGATGTCACAAGGTGATAAGATACTTTTTTTTTGATTGAGAAAATGAGAATTCCGATGAAGCGATAAGCGATAAACGTAATTATGACAGAAAACTATCGCAACATGTACTGCTGGTTTGCAATGGCAAAGAAAATGAATAATTTCCTTTGATCTAGGTTCTTCTCCAGCGCTTTCTGAATCATTTTGCATGTATTAAATAATGTTTCTTTAAGTTTAATTCTGTCCCAATGATTTTTTTCATACTTCAATGTATTAAAAATGAAAACATAGAAATCAAAAATTAAAGTCCAAATGTGATCATTAACTGTTGTCGCAACCAATATTGCTGTCTTAATTGAAGCCGATAAAACTTATTTTCCAGTAATAAGTCTTTCGTAACAAATGTTTTGTGGCAGATGTTTTAGTTTAAAAATGGTTAGTAAATAACTCACATAAACTGGATTCATTCTTGAAATGATTTCTTAGACTACCCAACATTTCTTCAATAAGAGGAGTGTTAACCATGATTAGAAAAATTTTTTGAATATAATTTCAAGTACTCTCCATCTTAGATCTTTATAAGTTGAAAAGAAAAAATAATTATGGCAATCATCAGTTCATGACTAGCTAATCTATTTTGATCATTCCAAAGCGTCAAAGTTTGAGGAACTTTTATGATATATGGAAGAATTGACTGATGACAATAACGATGGAAAATGCAACAGTGATGGTAATGAGAGCAATGACAGCAATGAAATTGGCAGCATTTGAGAGACGACAACCACACAGACTAGCTGTAAGTTTTATGTTACCTATGAAATGACACAATCACTGATTGGAAGACAAAAATTGATGCTATAGTTTATCGTTTTTGTTATTATATCGTTTTAAAAACCAGTTTGTAAGTATTCTTCATTGATTTAAATGAATCATGGATTGGCCGGGTCATCCGTTCGTTCGTTCAATTTTCTGTTGCTGGATTAAGTTTCTTAAGTAATCACTTTTATAATACTTAAAGCTTTTGTTTCTTGGCTCAAAAATGTTTAGGTTCAGTCTTAATGGGTTACTTTTTGAAAAACTAAAGCTTTTTAGAGAAAACACTTTTTATTCCTATGTTTGAAAAGAACTAAAAAATGATGTCTTTCATATAAAAGCCTTTTCATAGATGTCTGTTTGAAATTAAGAACAAATGAGTTTTATAATTTGCGAATTATATTTAGGAATGCAATACTTCAGATTTAACTTAAGAAAATGGGAAATATTTTTACGAAAAAAAAAAAAAAAACTTTACGAAAAGTCGAACTGTTGAAGAAAAAAGGAAATCATTCTGAAGTTAATGAATATATTCACCGATAAAATTTTTCTCCGTCACTGCCAAAAAAATTTCCAACAGTTTTAATGAATTTCAATCTTAAATGAGAAATCTTCGATAAAACATGGATCATTCTCAAACGATAGCAAAACATTAAAAAGAAGCAAAATTGATGAAAGCATATGTCAGTGATATGATTAATGTCAGCAAGATTCTTTGTCGCGATGCTAAAAATCATATTCTCCCAATGATTACTTCAATTTTTTATATTATCAGTGAACTAAAGAGTTGGACGATAAATAAAACTTATTTGAAATAAGCATCATTCAATTTAATAATAGTAAAAAAGAATAAAACTTAAGAGTAATGCTGTGCTGAAAGACTGATAACACAAGCATACTTTTTGAGAAGGCCTATACTTGGATACGTTTTCTTCAACATTTTTCTTACCGATTTTAATCAAAGATTTCATAAATGAGAAATATAGGTGGGAAAAAGAATGCAATAGAATGATAACTGTTTAGGAAAATTTGTCAAATCATAGTCTAAAATACACTAATTAAAGGAAAATAATTAAAAAAAAAACCATTTACATTCTATTATTTGTAAAATAATATTCATAAACTATGACAAAAAATTTATTATTGTGAGGCTAATGGCTAACCAAGATAAATTTCAATAAATTTTTAAACGATAAAAAAAAAATCAAGCATTTCTTGATAAAACTGTTTGTGAATATTCCATCAAAGAATCACCACAAAAGTTTTCTCCTTGAATATGAAATCTTGGAACTTTTACTGCTGTTTAATTAAAAATAAAATAGAACGACCCACGCGACAACATGATCGATGGCTATTTTTTTTTGCTTTCATTTGATGGAAAATTCAAAAAATACATAAAAAGAAACCCATTTATTACTTCTATTGATTAGTACTCAAATTCTTCCTTTTGCATCTATCAGATGTTAAATGAAGTGTGTGTAAATGGAACTTTTAACTAGACATCAGCTTTTATTCCTAACAAAATTAATGGGTCAAAAAAAATCAAGAATATATTAAAGGAATAAAAAAATGACTAATCCATACTGAAATTAAAGCTCAATGAAGGATGCTAATGATAATAGCATTAGTAAATATCATATCCATGATAATGTGCCGGATGATATCACTGACAGCAAACTTTCTGTGCTGTGGAATAAAGTGGTTGTGCTGTCGAAGACATTGTTAATGGAATAGGTTAATTAATTCAAATATCTTTGCTGTTGTATAGTCTGCATTTGACTTCTGGTTTTTTGTGCGAAGACTGAGGAAGGAATAGGAAATGAAAGAACGGGAAATGATGGGAGACATTGAAGAGTACGGGGAATAAATTTGAATGTCGCACATTGCGGGTTGCCCAACTGCGGTACATTTTTCTACTTCTCGGTGCCTTTTTTAAAATGATATTTCTTTATTATTAAACTGAACTATCCATTCCTCTCATATGTATTTGTAGTCGAAGGTCAAGTAGAGTTAGAATCTCTGACTGCACTGCCTGAACTTTAAATCCATCAATCTTCATCATCTAATATACGTTACCTTTTTTCTTTCTCTCTTTGTTGATGGTCTAATATTTTGTAATTCTATAAATTCATGTTAACTTGTGCTGTATAAATCCCTTTCAGTTGTTAAATTTGCTCAAGAAACTTTCAGATAATTGTGTTGAAGGACGCAAAGTTGGGTTTTTTGCTGTTCTTGAAAAAGGATTCAAGTACGACTAATATTTATTAATTCTGAAATTACAGATAACATAGAGCAAAGAAGATAATTATGATAAATTGATAGTACATAATCCATAAATCCGAACATTCTAGAAAATATAAATAAGTATGTTTTTGCCAGTAAGTCTTGATCACCCCACTGCTATATATTCCTGTGACAGATATTATTTTTGCTTATTTTGGAATGTACAGGGAGGGTCAACAAGAAATTTCAGGATCCAACTTTAGGCAGTAAATCAGTGAAATTCATTCATTCATCTTCACTGGATCTTTAAAAAGTTGAAAATGTGGTGTCGCTTTTAAATTTAGCTATTAGAAAATGGATCGATTCATTCGAATAACTAATTGAATTTGAATCAGTTACGATAATCTGATGGAACTTCTGAATTGAACACAGTTCTTTGAAGTGCTAATTTTAGAGATTAATTTTAGGCTCTAATATTCCAGTCCTTACACAATTAAATTTTTCTTCAATCTAACATGATGATTTTCAATCAGTGTTTAGAACAGTTTCTGAACACAATACAGAGATCACGCACAACAGATACTGAAGGGAAAAAAAAGTTCGTTAGACAATGAAGGTATTTCTCGTTTTTTGGCGAGTTGTTTATTTCAACTTTCTTATCAATATAAAACATTATGATCATTTTGAAAAAAAAAAAAAAAAAATCATGGCTGATCAAACCGCTCACAGTTTTTGCATTTCTAAAACAGAAATGCGAGATTTAGAAAAGATTTTCAGATAATCATGGATGCGCTCAATCGTTCATACCAAAACGACTTTGGGTAATTGTTTTCTCATATCTTTTTAAGAAATGCATACATAATTATCTATATATTTATACATATATAATAGAAAGCAATTGAAAAATAAATTAATGAAACAATTTAACAAATAATAATTTATCGAATTAAACTGGTTCACAAACTTTTTTCATTAACTGATTAATAAATTACAATATTTTGCTGAAAACTCTTCTTTTTTTCTTTCACATGTTCATTTCCTTCAAAAGAACAATATCACCACGGGGATACGAGCAATGCACAGAACACTAATTTAGGAAGAGGAAAGGAATTTTAAGAAATAGTTAAAATTCAGTTATTCAAGGTTATTTTTTTAAGAACTTTGGATTATTAGTCCTGAGGTTAAGGATCAGAAGCTTTTCAGAGATGTAATAAATGATAATATTTCAATGAAGAAACTCAATTATTTGGTGAAAAAGAAAAATAAATTAGCCAAAAAGGATAAGAGCGAGTGAGGTTTAGTGATAATTTATTTAATCGTTTATAGACTATTTCTTCATTTCTTTATTAGTATTTATAATTTGGCTATTTCAACTGTTAGTAATCACCCATGCATTGACAAAAAATCGTGCGAAATTCTTATTATCGAAAAGAGGCAATAGCGAAACAATTAGTGGAGGAGATGAGTAATTAATAAATCATATATACTTCGTTATAATAATTATAACTTTTACGTTATGAAATTATGTTACTTATTGATCATAGCTAGTGGCCAAAAAAGAAACTATGTTCTAAGATCTTAGATTTAGAATAATTCAAAAAATTTGCCTCTACAAAGTACTCTATGCTAAGTTAAAATTTCATAGCAAAGATTTCGTAACAACTGTCACTGCATCAAGACCGTACTTGCAATAGTCAATGATTGAAATAAACTTGTAGTATCAAAAAAGATTCTAATTTTTTGTGAAATCGTATGACGTTTAGTTATGATTTTTTAATATTTTGCAAAGAAATAAGAACCATTTATAAACTTATAGTAATATGATTCGATATATTTAAGATCAGTTGAAATTGCGCGAGACGCAGGTGGTGAACAGTGGATACAGGTTGGCTATACTGAATGATAGATTTGGAAAATTGGTTGAAAGAAGTGAGATGAAAGAAAGATGATATGATTGATTGGACAGTGTTATGATAATATAACATTTTTGATTGAACAATTATTCAAAATTTTTAGCCATAAGTAGATCATTCTAGCAATTCCTCAAAATTAATTTTGAAAATTTCAAGAATATCATAATTTTCAATTTTTTTTTTACAAAAATACAAGCCTTATATCTGTTATTAAGGCTGTGGACAAAGTACACCATTCTCCAATCGATCTTACAAGCAATGGCACTGCTTTGTCACTAACAGAAAGATTGAAAATTGCAAATTATAAGGTAAAATCAAAACTGGTATGAAGCTAATAAATGCTTGACAAATTAATATAACTTTCTGAACAGTTTAATTTTGTCGAAATCAATTTTTCAGTTTCCTGATCATGTGATAATCGAAATAAATATTTTAATTTGCGTTTTCATAGAGCGCCCAATTCAAATATGAAGTATTGAAGAAGGAAATAGAGAATGATCCTGAACTCTTGAAAAATCATCTGCAAAACATGGTCCATCGTGGCTTATCAAGTCATGGTTATCATCAAAAGAGTAAAAGAAAAATAAAGGTAAAATTCTCATTGGTTTGTTAGACCAACATGTAGAAAATGTCCAGGATTGATGCGGATTGGTTCTTTTTTACTAAACAGATTAGGCTTCCAACCGAATGATAAAGATAATAAAGAGCCTGGAATTTAATACCTGAGTAGCATATTGAAACAAAGTTTGGATAATAAAAGTTGTCAACTTATTAAACTCAGAGGTGTTTAGCAAAGATTTTCTGATAAATTGCTGTAAACACTTATTTCTGTTAGCTATGAACTTCTTCAAATTTCGATTTATTGTGCAAAATTTTGAGTGGGCTCTGCATTATTTCAGGATCGTCGTCCAAATTTGGAGAAAGTCAACATATTTAGTATGTTTTGGCCTGATTTATTGTTTGTTGAAGAAAAATGCCTTTTTCGAAAATGCATATTACCTTGCAGAGAAAATCACAGTGAATGATTTGATTGAAAAAAGTGTCGAGAATGTGGTATTAACAGAAATGTTATTGTATGATGTTCGTTGTGATACAGCATGGAAAGCAAATTACACGAAGAAATTCAGCAAAGGCAGAATGAAAGTAACAAATGGCGCTGGTTGGGTTCTTCCTCTTCAGAGACTCTGCGATAAGATACGACTTTCATCAGATTTAATTGTAAAATGGTCGCAATCACAATTATTAATTACTAGATAACCTGTATCTATCGAGCACTTATCATAGGGATGTAAAAATTCGACTGCTTAGCATTTGCAAAGGATGAAAAAACTGCAAACAACATGCAGCACTTATGTAGGCACGAACATTGCGCATTTCTGTTGATGATAATTGCTTTTTGAAATGTGCACTGATTGCATTTTATTAAATTTTGATAAATGAGAATTTCTTCTCAAGCAGTCATTCATTTTCGTCAAAGTATGGTTCTACATTATTTCAATATTTTGGTGCATTATGTAATTTGTTAAAAAAAACGACAGGTGGTTGACCTATTGCGCCTTAGTTTATCTATGATCCAGGCTAATTAATTTAGTGTAGCGATATAGGTCTCTTTCAGACTGGCATCAGTAGCGATTTTTTTGCAAGAAACGAGAAAGTGGATCTCGAGGATGCGCGCTCTTTCATTCTCTATCAACGACTTACGCGAATGCCGGTAATCCGAATTGCAGTACCGAATCTTTCTTCCAAAAAGTTTGGAAAAAAAGTTTTTTTAAACAAAAATTATTACTCAGATAATATTTGCAGGAACTGAGTAAATGGCTGGAGAATGATGAGCTAAATTATAGGAATAGTAATTTAGAAGAATTTTTCATAAAAGATTGGGACGGAATGGGAATCACAAAGCGTATGAATGAATTCATTCAAAATGTACAGAATGATTTAGATCGAGTTCGGCTTCAAGATCGATGTAATTTTCATGTACTATTTTGAGAAAAAGGAATTAGATTTTTTGGAGAAATGGAAGAATTAGATTTTTCTGTTAGCAACTGTTAGAAGATATCACGGCTTAGTGGATGAAGATAGTTATTTAGTTTACAATAATATTGTGATGTGGGAAGCACTGATTGCAAGTCGAAAACAGGTTTTTATTCGAAGTATGATTGGTGGCATGGAACGCCGGTTTGAAATTCTGGATAATCAAGTGAATCACATTGCTTTTACCCATCATGCATTCGATGAACATCTTGATTTGTGTCGCAATAAAAGTAAAAAATTTGATTAAAAGTTGAAAAAGGATGCTAGGAGATTTTTGAATAGAAAAATAAATCGAGTCAACTCTTTGTTTTCACAGTGTTTTCATTTGAAATTTACTTGTGAATAACGTTAGATACTTGAAATGTCACCATAGGAATCAAATGTCGCGATTCAACTCGTGTAGTACTGACCTATCCAAGTACTGCAAACAATGATTTCATTCATGCGAATTATATTCAAGGTGCACCGCTATTTAATAAATTTATCATTACGCAGGTATAAGTTTGTTTTATTTCATCTATCTGACTCTGTAGTTAGTATAATTCAATCTGCCAAGAATACATCTAGTGGAGAAGAGTATGAAGTTTGAAAAATACAAGTTTCATACTTCCATCAGGCACCTATGAAAAATACAATTGGCGATTTCTGGCGCATGGTTTGGCAAGAAAGGTCACCTTATATCTTCATGCTCATAAGTCGAAAAGAAGATGACAGATGTGCTCAGTATTGGCCGAGGCTAGCAATTTTATGCCGTGTTTTTGCGCTTATTCATATTACAAATCTTATGAAGTAGAAAGTGATTCAATATTAGTAACTGTTATGTTTTCAGGATTTAAACTTTCTCTTTACTCATATATGACAGTATTCAGCAGTTCTATATGATAATTTTCCATGAGATTTATATTTTATTGGATTGTTCTGAATAAAAGGAAGTGAATCTTTCTTATTATCTGCTGAGCGAGAATAAAATTGTTTTTTACAGAAAAACTGGAGATCAAATAACTTATTATGGATTGACAATTATGAATTCGGCCGTTGACGAATTTCGCTTGCCATTGTTTCGTGTTACATATTTGATTGTGGTTGGACCTGAACGCGACGAAGTTTGCATTTAGTCTGTCCTCAACTGATATAATATTAGTATTTTATTAAATTTAAAATTCCTGAAGACTTTGGTTGAGAAGGTATTATGTAATATTCACTATAAATGAAGGTTCTTCCGGCTACTTCAGATTGACCTTTCATTTCTTTTGCTTCCTTAATTTCGTGTATATTTGAATCCTTACAGTTACATGTTGAACATTGGCAAGGTGATATGAATAATTCAGACAACGTAATGCTACCTTTGCAACTCTTACGACTTGCTCGCAACTGTTCTTATCCAACAATCATACATTGTCATCTGGGAATAAGTCGATCGGCTACACTGGTTGCTGTTGAAATCTGCATCGCCTGCCTGCTCAAAGGACCGACTTACAAGGTTAGCCAACCACCGGCTGCTCATTTACTTGAGAATTTGGCTTGAATTTAATGGCACTTATGAGTAAGTAATTTTGGTCCTATTATTGATAAGACCACTATTAAGTCAAAAAAAAAAATGACGAGTTATTGTTGCAGCACTGCGTGCAGAAGGCAGTGCAATTACTACGCTCTCAGAGACCATTTTGTATCGAAACACCAATGCAATATATATTTGTACATCGAGTAGTGCAGAAGTTTCTGCACGATTATGCAGGCGAACCACAAGGCTTCCATGCGGAATATAAGCACTGGATTGAATCGCGGGCCATGAGACCATTCATTGACGATGTGGAACAAAGAGTGAATTTTGATATTCGCGATAAAAGTTTAAAGTTTAGATTTCTATTTGAAATTGAAAAAAAAATTGAAGCGACAAAATAAGTGATGGTAATCAAAGTATTACAAGAAAAAACTTATTTTTCATGAAAATCCATTCAATTTTTAAAGGAGGGTGCAGCTTGTTCATATGGAATAGCCTGCGCCAACTTGGTGGATATTCTCAGTTCAAAACTACAAATTCTAGATTCCTGGATATCGACTACTCTCACCACGTTTTGATCCTGACTTAATTCGATTGGTGCGACATCGTGAACGTCCGGGCTGTCGTCGTGAGACTCACGATTGCGTTGGACAGATGCCGATACCCTTGCAAGATACCAGAGGGCAACGCTTCGAAGAACTGCAGCTAACGAAACGATATCCACGAGGCGATCGATATGATTGAAACTTTGAGCTTATTAGATTTGTGTTTTTGGCAAAAATAATAGATTTAAAACCATTAATATATAATAAGCTATTTTTATAATAAGCTATTTTTACATGTTGCAGTTAAGGATTTATTAAGTGGATTTATACTTTGAATAAACCATATTGCCAATAAATAACAGATTGTCTTCTGGAAACATTGCTATAGCTATAGTTTTGGTTAATGTGTTATTTTTTAATTACTTTATGTTTTCTCTATTTTCTTTTAAAATAAGCAGTTATCTTCTAATTTTTACTCACTTTAAAAATGTAAAGTTTTTTTCTGGATTTTTATCTTTTAAATAAATTCTAAAAAGTGTTTTTTGAAGAATTGTAACTATTTGAAATATAATTTAACTTCTCGAAGTATTGCTATAGTCATAGTTCTCTTTAATGCGTTGATTTTTGATCAGTTCACGATTTTTTTGAACTTTTAATATTTTTATATACTTCCTAACATTCCAGTGTACTTTTTAGCTAATGGATAAGGTACGAAGAAGAGATAAAGAATATTAAAAATTAATAATAAACTACTTTAAGGAAAGCAATCTGTAAACACCATACAACTAGCGACAAATAAATTACAACGTATGATCAGATGAATTGTTGTCAGCAAAGAGGACAAGAATCAAGTAGTTTGTATTTAAGATCAATTTTTAATATTCTTTTTCTAACAATTAATCAATTACCTAAAAGTTTTTCTGAGTCAGTTGAACTGATCGCTAAATGAGGTGAGGGAATTTAGTTGAAAGGATTTAATGAATGGTTTTCAATCTGTTTTCAAGATTGTTATTTGAAAAAAGAGAAATGATGATGACATTTAAATATTTACATTTTTATTCTAAAAGCAAAAGTTTATGTATTAGCTATCACAAAACGTTAAAAGTTATCTCAAAGCAATTTCTCTATGTACTTAGTGAAATTATTAAAACTAAAACTCATTTTATCATTTTATATTATATTATTTTTGCTATGATTATTCTGTCTAAAAAAAATTGAAAAAAAAAAAAAAAAAAAAAAGAAAACTCTTAACGATAAAAACTTAGCTTCGAGCGCTAATGACCATTTTGATTGAAATTTCTTACTTTAGAAGAAACAAAAAGTATATCATACTGGATGATAGATTAGCTAAATGCCAACTTCTCTCTAAAGTGAAATAAAGTTTGTTTTCCAATAAATATAACATCTTGCTGTCATGACTGAAACATTAATACACTATGTGAAGCGAAAAGAGAGGAAAATGTTGTAATTTAAACCTAGTGCAAATCGTAGATGGCGCAACATGCAACTTTAATTGCGAAGATACATCGAAAAAACTTATAAAAATGTTCGTTATTTTCATAAATCTTGCCTTAATTTTCTCTTAAAAAGTCACATTTCTAATTGAATTTTTAGTAGATTTTTTCAAACATTCCAACTCTCAGACTTCAATGTCTTTTTTTAAAAAAAAAACTTTCGTTAATCATTTTAACAATCTTTTATTCCTCTCAATATCTTCTTCTCTCCTTTTATTTTCGCAGTAAAAGAATTTGGCTTTGAAGTAGTCCTGTGGAATTCGAAAATTAGGAAATAAATTATATAGTAAAGCACTAACACCACCAATTTCCTAATTAATTTTCTTTGCTTAAGTTCATTTTTTATTATTAACTGAAAGTGACACTATGAATTACATTGCAAAAATCTTCTATGCATCCATACATGAATTCGATGAAAATAGTTCATTAGTTAACCAATTTATTTAATATTATTCTTGTGCCCTCATTTATCAGCACTATTTGGTTGAACAGGATATTTAACAAAAGAAAACTGTCATTATTTTCAAATGCGACAAATTTAGTTGGCCAAGAAAGTTCCATCGGAATAAAGGAATAAATTATTCCCAGTGCCTTTGTCGGAATAAACTTAATTTGGTGACAACAAAATAAACAAATATGTCTAAATTGATTAGTAATTTACTGGTTTTGATGCTGCAATAAGATTTTTTCGTGGAATATGTGGTTTGATAAAGCACTAAACTTTTATGTTTGAACAAAAGAGCTCTTTTTAGAATTTTTTATTCTTTTAGAATATTTTTTAGAACATTTTCTACTATTTAGATTTCTAATCTTATCAACCTGAGCATCACTCTCTAAGATCAACCCAAAGATTTCATTATCTTAATTACTGCAGGAATTTTTAATTTTTTCTTATCTTTCAAAAGAGGAAATTTGATTGCCTCAAAGACTTCTGGTCATGTTAAGCTTTGTGTAAGACAATAGAAGAATAAATTTTGAAAACATATTGTGCTTCTTTCTCCTTTTTATGAAAAAATAAAGCTGTCATCATTAGCAATCATTTCAAAAAATCAAATTATGTTCTTCTCGTCTGCAAGTTCCAAAAATTTTAAGTAAATTTATTAAAGAATTATGTAGTACTTTCATTTGTTTAACCTTTACTTTGACCCATTAAATGCTTCTTTTTTGCATGAACACACAAATTTACTTAACATTTTCACCATCAATCATATAGATAATTAAACTGGAGTAAAGTAAAAGAAGAGAAAAAGACACTCAACTTTCATTAAATGTCATTAACATTCCGTTAACTCATTCATTCGTTCATTCACACTTTCATTCGTACAACTAGAAATGGAGTGCCATTGCTTGGAACTTAGTTCTTGAATCTTTCAGATTTGAAATTATCGATGCTTCAACAAATATTTCATTTCCTTTCCTCTTCTTCCTGCCCTGTCTCGAATTAACAATATTCTGTTAAGTTATAGGGCATACAAGGTTTGAATGAAGACAATTGATAGAAAATGAGTATTACGACAAAATATTTCACATTATACCATTTATCAATTGGAAGAGTTTTGGAAGAAACAAAATGTGTGAAATAAAAATTTGGTTTCTTTTTTTCAAAAAATTAACTAAATTATTTAGTAAGCGTTCTACTAAGCGAACAGATTGCTTTCTGATAATTATAGCATGAGGAACTACTCGAATTATCGAAAAACATCAATTAAATGAATTTTGTGAGTTAATTTGTAGATATAAGTGTGCAAGAAAAAGTGTTTTGCAAGTTCTTTAAAACTAATTACTTCTCTTTATTGGATCTTTTCGAATTTCTAGAAATTCTACACTGACTTTTGACAATTCAATGTTAAAATTCTGATGAAACGTAAGTGTAAAATGGAAATGAAACAATTAGAACGTACTTTGAAAGTACTTTTCCAGTAAACATGAATATTCATTAAGATAGAATTTTCGTTTTGCCTGCTTTCTTTTGTTTGGCACATATATAGCACAGATCAGTTTGTCATTTACTAATAAAAAATGCAATTATAAGTTAAAGATAATTGGAATACTGATGATATAAAAGCAGAAATTGACGTCAGAAGATTTGAAATTATGAGATGTGCAAGGATTAGCAGAAATTTTAGCTGCAATTCGATTGCCAAAAGTGTCAAGAAAGTTACCGTGGTAACATATTACTCCTTTATAATTTATATTTCCATTTCACAGATAAATTATTTTACTTCATTACTCTTTTATTTGCTCTCTTGGCCACAAAATGTGACTTCTATATGCTTCATAGTTTCTATTGAATTTGCTACAAAAGGAAGATTATGTTGTCGAGTATAATAAAGTCTCAAAAACGAAAAACGTTCGAAATTTTTTGAAAACTCATACTTCAAATTTCAAACGAGATATGTTATTGCTATAATATAATCGTACATACTCCATTGATATTTTTGGTCTTTAAAAAAACCAAATAGGATCTTAAAGTCTTGCAGCTCTAGAAGAAAAAATATAACAATAAAGGTATAATATTCAGAATGAACAAGTGAACAAACAATAGTGCTAAGGAAAACTTAAGAAAGCTGATTTGTGTTAAATCTATGACAAATATTATATTGAGCAAATTATTAGTTTGGCTTTGACTTTTTTCTTCAAATTTAAGTATTTTTCAAGTTGACGTAATATAACCTGTTTTGAGTTATGTTCTTTATACTTACAAGTTATTATTTCCGCAGCTCAAATGTCTCGCATAGTAGCCTACAGGAAGATTCGATCTCATTTTCATGTTTACATTCAACATTACTATCACAAGTTAATCTTTAAACCATTTAATATCACTTGTTAATCAGCGTTAGAACTTTCACTTCAATTCAGTAACCTCCCAATAATTTCACTGTAATTTTTCCATAATTGATAACTGAGAACCAGATTTCACATTATAATTATCACTGAAATGAATACTACCAGTAGGAAGTTTTTTTTATAAGGAAATACTTTTTCGAACAATTTTTAGACTTCTGCAATTTAGATCATTTCTTCCACTTCACCTATTATTCAGTTTTTTTTTTTTTTTTAACAAAGCTGCTTCTAGCTGAATAGCCTTACAAACAATTCAATCAGTTGTAAATAAATTGGCTTTTTTCTTATCATCATGTCCTTTTCTATTTTTTATTCTCGAGCTTACATTTCGCATTGTACATTGCTGTTTTTCTTTCAGAATTCCTGTGAAGATATTGACAGTCACTATTCTAAGACCGTAATACAAAATTCAAAAGTTGTTAAAAGTGTTGTAATGATATTATAGGTCACAGGAAAGAAATTTTGCTTTCCGTAATACCAAAAGTAATACCTACGATCGTGTTCGATCGTTTAATTAGTTGTTTTTTAAAAATATATCAGCAAGTTACTGCACATTTACAAGTCAATTTGTGTATGTTTTAATTCAAAAAACTAGAGGAAATGTTTAATAATGATAATTTACTGCAATAATTATTTTATTTTGCTATTTTTGGCATCAGCGACAAAGCTCGATCAAATTATTTAATTTTTTTTTTTAAATAAAAACAGTAATTGCATGTCTAATTTAAAATGTGTATCATTTCATATTAAATTACATGTTAATAAAATAAGTCAGATGAGTATGTATCGTTGCTTCCTCACTTATTCATTAAAATAAAAGTGGTTTATTAGATTATAAGCT